GGAGGGACCGAGTAATGATTCACATATGTAAAAGAGACAGACAGGCACAAAGGTTGAGAAAAAAGGTAAGGTGAAAGCTGCTGAAATGGTGGAATATGACATAGAGTGGGGTGATGGTAGTTAGAAGGCAGAAGTCAACTGCCAGTTAATAGACTTTTTTGCCGTATGAGTATACGTTGCCCAGGGTGCACCACGTGGAGGTAAGTCCATCACACACCCCTCATTATGTAATATAGATTGGTTGAGAGGCTTCTGCCTACATGGCTGCACTTTCCAAATGTTTCACGTTGAACACTTCGCGGTCTAAAGGACTTTAGGCACTAAGATCAATCATACTAAACAAGGCTGGTGATAGAATACGAAAATAACACTAAGGCGTATCCAAAATTATCACATTTTTCATTAACTTTCTAAAGAATTTCGTTCCTCGGCTTTTAAGTCGACGAAGTGCAATTGCTTCGGTTATAAGTATCCTGAAATCCTCTGATTATAAAACAGATATTCAAACTGTTATTTATCTTACCTTCCGTTAATTTTAATGAAAAAATACTTTATTTTACATACTTCAATTTTGCCCATGAACAAGATAAACACCATTTTGATGTTTTATTTCAACCTCTTTTAGTGGTGTCTTTTATACTGTTCGTCTGACCTAGAGCTTAATCTTCAAATTTATAAAGGGAGAATGAATTACACGGGAAATGTCAAGCAAAATTATTTGTAACTGTTTTTTTTTGCGATAGACTTACCTCCACTTGGTACACCCTGGGCAACGTATACTCATACGGCAAAAGAGCTCATAAACTGGCAGTTGACTTCAAACTACCATGACCCAATTTTATGTCATATTCGACCACTTACACGGTACTCACCTTACCTTTTTCTTTACCTTTGTTTATGACCCTTTTATATCTGTGAGTTACTCTTCTGTTCCCCTTCTCTACTTGTTATTGCTTCGATAGCCCTCCCCTTTGCGAAGCCCGAAGCCATCTAAAGGGCTAATTATAACTATCATAAAGCTTGCCATTTGATATAAACTATTTGCTTGTACAATAGTGAAAATGCATAAAAGAGCACATATAAGTTCAAAAAGAACTAGCACCTTGTGAGGCATCCTCAAATGACTTTGATAGAAATTAATAACACAAACATCTTGATGGCCCAAGGATTTATAATATTTCATTGATTTTTTTACCAAATATACTATCAAACTATTGTGCCGGCTTCTAATTTCGGCATATACGTGGTGATAAGAGCATTGAATTGCAAATTAAATGAATATTGATAGGGAATAAATCTTAGTTGAAGAATAAATACATCAATTTTTGAAAAATTCCATTGTTTGAGTTTGACAAGGCTTGAGTTCGCTGAAGGTTAGCTGGTAAAGGGAAGTGCTCTGACCAATCGCGCTCAATTATTTGAACAGATTTTGTGGGATCTGAATATTGATACTCCCGTGTTCGAGCACTTCTTCATTGCTTAAACTAATGCGCTTTTTTTCTTTAAATACTAAGCCTAACATGAATTTGATAGATTTCATTATTTTCTTTATTCTAGTATAATACTAATTTTTGTGCCTTTTTTCATCGTGCTGTTACTGAAAAGGGTGTGGGACACGTTATCGCTGTGTGCGTCATCGTATGCCTGCATGTTTGCTCGCCAGGATTGGGAGGTGCGGCCGTACAACTCTGTGTGCAACGACCGCACAAACAGTGACCAATCATCAACCTCTGTTTAACCTAATCCCCCATCCTGATCATGAGTAGCTCCATGCGTATACCCACTTGATCCGCAACATACGTCCTGAATAAATGTGCTCCGTGCTACACGTCTATTTCCTTTATAGCTGGGCTATAGCTTAGTTGGTTCTGGGAGTCTAGCTAGATGTTGGAGAGTCTGCCACAGAGATTTCTGAGTCGGTCAGGCTTTACTAGCGTAGCAATCCGCTATAAGGGAGACATCTTCAGGCTGAGGTGACTTTGAGTAGTCTTTCCTTCTAGTTCTTTCCACTGGAAGTTTTATGGAGATGCCAGTAAAGTCTTTGGTAAGAATGGTTGTCACGATCAAAATTATATACCTACATTAATGCATTAAATGGCATAAAGTATGCAATCTTTATAAAAATTGATTAGATTAACTACAATATTACAAAAATATATATTCACAACCTTGTTCCAGTCCGCTTCTGACTATTCTCTCATCCTGGTATCTAGACTTTGCGTCAACATTTAGGTCATGGAAATTTCGTTAGACATTTCTGCATCTCATTCAATTGCGAGTGATGAAGTCAAATACGAGATCTGTCAAAATGTGACAAGAGACAACATATATACCAAGATCAGAATTTTATATGTGAAAAATTTAGTGATTATTAGCACATTCCAAATCACAGAGTTTATGCGAGCGAGGAGGAGGGAGGTGGTGGTAGTGGTGGGGGGGGGGGGGGGGGGCCGGTTGGTGTGATAGGAACTGAAACTATCGTGATAAGCACTCAAAAAGTTGCAAGATATTGTTGGTAGTGCTAGTTTAATTATTTATCAAACGCGCTTTAGATTTTTGCCATCGTCACGAGTAGTTGATTTGAGTTAACTTTTTTATGAAGCTGTCAGTTTTGCTCTTATAATGTGAATTTTTAGATACTTTGCTTACAGGGTGTATGCTAACACTTGACGTCTGGATTTACTTAAAAGCGTTTGGTTGCAGCAAAAAATCTGTCTATAGAAATCATGGAGTCATAAAGTATTTTCTTTACATATTGTGGGAAAATATTGAATTTAAGAGTTATTATATCCAAGGGTGCCATCTTCATTTATGTGGAAGTATACAGAAATTTTAAAAGAAAACCTAGAAATTGGATTTAAAGATGTTTCGCAAAATTATGAAATAACCCCTACATCGAAGATCTAAATAGGCTTGAAAAATAACAAAATATTTTTTAGTAAATTAAATAAAATCGAGTCAAATTGTTAAAATATGAACTATAAATAATCCTGTTCAAAACACCAAACGTAAATTTAAACGAAAAGAGCTTCGACACCTGAGGTGATATTGATTGCCATATTAATCAATAATTGTCCCTATAAATTATGAGGAAACATGATTTCAAAACTACCAGTTGAATGGTGAATAAGGAAATATGCGGATCAGTGTTGACATGGTGGGAAGCGATAAGAGGTTGTGAGAAGGTCGTGTTCTATGTTCCTCCGGTGAATAACCAACAAAAAGCTGCTAATTAGAAGACCGACGACATTTAAGTGAATAAGTGAGTTGGGTAGTGATGATACGCTGATCAACACATTGCTTTAAGATTGATAGGTTTCTAGAAGGCTGAAAAAGGTATATGTGAGTTTGAGCAAAATTTATTTATTTATTTATTTCAAATGGCAGGCTTTATGATGGTTATCATTAACCCTTTAGCTGACTTCAGGCTTCTTAGATGGGAAGGAACATCAAAGTGACAAAAAGACGAGAGGGAAAGTCGAAGAGTGGCGAACAGAAGAGTGTTTCAAAGAGTGGGGCCATGGTAGTCTTAAGTCAGAAGTCACCTGCCGATTAATAGACTTTTTTGCCGTATGAGTAAACGTTGCCCAGGGTGCACCACATGGAGGTAAGTCTTTCACACACCCCAGTTTGAGCAAAATTAAACGTGACAAGACGTCAATCCGTTTTACATATCGAAGTTGAGAATATAATAAAAAACTAAAATGGTTTTTGCACTTTCGATAACTCAATTCCAGTTATCATCTGCCTAATAACAAAGAGTAACGTCATATGAAAAAATCAACATTACATTGTAAAGACATGGTAATTCAATGTTATCATATATGGTTAATGTAATATGTTGTGCGAGCGCTGATAGCCAGAACTAGATTCAGAACAATTGGGATTTTCCCCAATGTTGATTGTGATAAAATACGACCACGAACGGTTGATTTTAAGCTCTTGTAATGTGAACTTAAAAAGCTCTTCGATCGGTCATTATGGATAAGCTTTATCAGAGCATATTACTTAATTCAACCATGTAGGAAATCGTGAGAGATTTCTTTCCAGTGAATTTGTATGAAGGATGACACTTTTTGTTTTCTCCAACTATTACTTGGTCATATTATCTATGAAAATATGTCGATTTTAAAACGTGTACTAAGAGCACAGATCGCATCTTTCACGTCTCGATGAGCTAATCGAATCGAATTTTACTATAATTACTACCATTAAATTTGAAAGTACGCCCATACTCATAGTTTCTTTCGTGTGCTTATCCATTTATTTTCACTCATGTACACGCACGCAGACACGTGTTTACCTTTATCTGATCGTACACTTCTTTCTCACCTCCGCTTCCTTTAATTACTCTCTTCTGACCTATTGTAACCTCAATATGCTTGATTCAATAGACTTAATTAAATGACCTGGTGGCCCAAAGAGCTTCTTTTCCCTAGCAGAACAAAAACGGCAACAGATATGTACTAATCTTTAATTATTACACTTTAATCATTCTAACAACCATGCCACAAACGAGTGACGATATAAAATCCTTTATCTTATAGTAAATTTCAACTCTATTTGAAATAGTAATATGAATAAATGTAAATAAGTTAAGAATTGATGAAACATTAATGCCAATATTTATATTATAAATCGATTGGTACATCAATGGCAATTCTGCTAAGGAGATTACGTTTTAGATGGACTAACTAGCATTGATATTCCAAACACAGTAGTTTAAGTAATATCTCCGGTTTAATACATGTCCTTACATCATTAGCAATAACAGCATAATAAATACAACCAAATATTTTAGCACCATTGATAATATTAAACGAGTTACTGTGTACAAAAAATATTTATTTAACGAACTGTTTTGATAATGAAATTTAAATGAAGGGTTTTATCCTCGAGAAACAAACTAAACGTTCGCACTAATACACCTCACTTCTGCTTAGTGCGCCTAATTTGATATTGGATAAATGACCATTTATCTTTGTAACTGAAATATACTCATGCGTAAGAGCAAACAAAAGACTAAAGGTCTTGGCTTTTCTCAGCTGGTAACTTAAGAGTTATTTTGAATTTTATATTAATTTGAATTCCTATGGCCTCTCAATTTCGTCAAATTGCCTGCTTTTAGATTCATTCAATAAGTCCGCTTTTTACGCTGAGATATTGGGTTGATTACCTTCCAATTTCTACACCAGCTCCTCGCGTTTCCATTTCCGCTAAAAATTTAGAAAGAAATGCTCAACTATTTATTGATGCATTTGAGTCAGAATCGGAGGTATTTGTTAGCTTATGAATAATATTAACCATTTAATCCCCATTTTGTTACTGTTATTCACTTGTAGCTCGTCTCAAGTCAATTTTCGAGTATAGATTATGATTGCTCGAGATTCAGCGTTGTACCTCATAATGGACTTTCAAGTTCCTCAAATCACTATTCATCTTCCCTATTTAAATCTCCGTCAAATTCAGCACTACGGGTGAAGTACTGTGGTGACCTGCCCACTGGATCTCCAATCAAATCAGCTCCAAAAATTTTTGCCTTCGACGCGGATCAGGGTCGCTTTGAAAGGTTTTCGTCTATGGATGATGAAGCTCCAGAAATTCTCAATCCACTCGATTTCTCACCTACAAGTCGACGTTATCAACGTGTTCGTAATCGTTGTGAGGATTGGTTGGACAAATATTCTCAATATTATGACCAACCGCCTCTTAGCGATGCACCTTCCGATGTCGAAGTGGAATTAGATACTCAATTCTCCTCCGCCGTTAACCCGGACGACTCCGTGTCCCAAGTAGCCGCCAGAGATGCAACCAAACAATCAAATTTCAAGATCTCCCGTAAGAAATTCGTTTTTTAAATTTATTATTTAATTTACGTTTCCATTACAATTTCTCATTGCTTAAATTCATTATTTCTCTATTTGCTTATTCGGCTGATCTAAGTATAATTGCATTGCTTGCAGTATTATAAAATTAACTTGAATCTATGTAAGTGGTTCAATGTATTTTTCAGCTCCTGTTGGAAATGCTGATCGTGTAGCTGAGCTAGAAAGTCAATTAGAATTCCTTCGAGCTCAGTTGGCCGAGGTCATCTACAAACAGACCATGATGGAGACGGAGATTGAGTCCAAAAAGACTTACCCTTTGAAAGACATGAATGTAGAACCGTGTCACAGTTCTGTTTATCGGGAAATACAAATCGCACCAACAGCATCTGTGTCAACCGGACGTGTTCTTGATAGTGTGCCGACTTATTTTACAAAGTCCGATGTCGGCAGTGACTCGGGGGTTATGGATGGAACCTGTTCGGCCATTATTTCTGCTACACTCCCATCCTCACCGCCTCTCCATTTATCCATAGGAAAGGGTGATACTTCTTTTCCCCCACCACCACCGCCGCCACCACCACCACCTCCTCCCCCTCCACCACCACCTCCAAATATCGGGTGCGATTGGAGGAGAAAACTACTGGAGAAGAGGGTAAGTTGTGTTCTCGATTCATTTGGAAGTTTGAGTTTTCTCCTCAAGAATTGAGGCCTCTTAGTCCGACGTGGTTAACCCTTGTTTCTAAAACCTGGATTTGTTTTAAGTCTATGGAATGAGACGTCAAGTCGTTTAGGTCGCTTAATAAGGCGGATTTATTTCCTCCCTCACAAAACTGCCATTTTGCTCTTGAGAGGAATGCATGAGCAAATAATTTGCTTTTGTGTTTAGATGCTAAATCTTTTGTATATATCTAACGCCCTTTGTTTTCTCATCCGAAGCAGGGTAGTGAAACAGATTTAAGGTAACATTTTTTCAAGAGTGCATTTTAATTCGATGTTCAAACTCCCTGCGAATTTTAAATCGATTAATTTTAAGGATGAGCCGTCAGTGTAGATTTCAGCTTGACACCAACAGGCTCCATTTAATTCTATGTACTATTTTTGACTTATTTGAAATCCAACAGAAGGTTGAGAAGTTTTTATCCAAGCATAAGAAGTGGTTCCAAGTTGCTCGGTGTACAGATATCCTGGAAGTGAGATATTGCTTGTTATGTCACGTTACTAGTTGTTTAAAGCCTTATTTCTGGTCTTCTAAATCTGTGTCACATTCATTTTGCACTTTAATCAGAACCGTGATAGTGTTTTTAACCAAATTTCGACATTGGTCGTAATTAAGCATGAGACTTCCCACAGCATATGAAAAGTTGGCGCTAACTAGTAATATTTTTTCAAAATGTAGGATTTGATGAGCAGGTTAGTCGTTCTAAATTTTGGTTGAAACGGTTGTATTTAAGGTACAAATTAGGAGTACATCCTTGACTCAACGCTATATTTCTTTTAGTATATTGGATTTACCAGTTTTTTCACGATTTCAGTCTCATCACTGATTTAATGGTATTTACTTACTCTTATTTAAAATGGTTTCTCATTGGAATTTTTCCCCATTCTAGGGCATGAATTCAGTGACGTTACCAGCACCCAAGTCACCGGCAGATATGTCTCAGGTCCTCAAAGAGCTCACATCTGGAACTATTAAACTCCGTGCCGTTCGAAGATCGGTGGGTGGAACTCCTATCAAACAGTCTACTCTGGAATCGAAGTAACAATTACAAAATAATTTATTTTCGGAGGTTTATTATTGATATGATTTTACATTGGATCCATTCTTTTAGTCTTTTTCATTGACTGATTACTTTTCCCAAGAGCCGATGCTATTGAACCCTCCTAAAGCAGGTTATATTTATTTACTGGTTAGACTGGCGGACATGCAGGATCCAATTACGGGGTTTGCAGGATAGTCGTTAGAATTTAGAATTTGTTCCTTAACATTTTTAAGTACTTTCTTTCAATTTCCGAATTTTAATTAAGATTGGTTTCTTTAGCCATCATTTTTTTTCTTTGATAAAATGGTCAACCTTGGTTGCACTTTATGATCCTATCAGCGATAGACTTGCTTTACTTTTGCGAAAAATGTTCGCCATTTAACTGCTTTCAAATTACAAACATTGGGAGTTTTTAAAGCATTCATCTACCAAGAGATGACTAGGCTCGCTTAGCGAAGAGTTCATTGTTTTCCTAATTTACAGACGATTGGATCCTGCCGAGTTAATTGGCCGTGCTCTCAAGGCCAAATTCGCCAACGTTCGCTACGAGCTCGAGTCTCCTGACAAGTCTTTGGAAAGGGATAATCAGGGCGAATTCTCACCGCCACCCCTCCCCGTTTTCATAACCCCGGTGTTAAAAAAGGTCAATCGGAACAAAGAAAATGGTTTTGTCAGCGCCTTTCCAGGTAGAAGATCCTCATCCAAGTCTTCGGAATCTAGGGTAGCCACAGCTCCTGTAAGTTAAAAAGGGACTGTTTTCGTTTGAATTATAGTTGAAAATTTTACACAATATGCCTTTATCCCAGTGTTCCCACTTTTTTCTCATATAAAGTGGTCTAAGTAGATCAATATTAGGAAAAATCATTTTGGAAAGAGACCTATAGTCTATAAAGTGAATGAAATATGGATCCGCATCTTTATGACTGAATTTGCCAATTTACAACGACTTTTTGCCATTAAAATGGCTTTAGAAATAATTTAGACTTCTTCAGTGGGAAATCAATTGTTTACTTCTCGGTGCTTTCTCTGTTAGCCTATAAAAGATCAAACGGGTTTAGCTCCAAGTCTTATCACAACTGAATTTAGGTGAGACTAGGATTCCATTATAATTTTAATTTTCTTAATCAAACGATCAGCTTATATTAAAAGGATACATTAAAGTTGAACTACTCTCAAAATGATATATCGCCAGATATCTAGTACTAAATCCTATGGAGTCTATTTCTGAAAATACATTAAGTTCGGGAGCATGAACAGTTCTCGTTATCTGTCTAATTGTTAAATAAGCCTTTTGATAAAGTCCTACTACTCAACTTACCAAATAGATAAATTCAGTTCTTTTCGATTAGTGGTTTGTTTCGATCAGGATGAGGAGATGTCTTTACTCATGTTTTTTTTTATCGTTACCGTCGATCATTTAATTTGCAATTTCTATTTCAGACTTTTGGTCGGCATCTACTACGCCCGGTCAATCGTGAAAGTCTGCCCCCCTCAATAGCCACGGAATTAAGTTTTGACGATCCACACGCCCTAGTGTCCACTCCAGAACGCAGATAATCGAATTTGGTCCCCTTGGGCCGTAAGTTTTGGACTTATTCTACTTTTTATTCCTTAAGTAGTATAGCTCTAAAATCGTGTCATTTTTCTTTTACAGTTCTCTGTGCACCAGTCCTTCAAGCGTTTATTGATGCATCGCTTTCTTAATCAACTTAGAAGATTATCTCTTGTAATGAAATAATAAAAAAGTCTCTACTATAAGAAAGCCAATGATGTTTTTCAGCAAAAAAATAAGTAAATTCGAGATCTAAATTAGGAGTTAATGGTACGACACAAATAATTGTGCAGTGGAATGGCAGCGAAAGCGGCACAGGTTATTCCAAAAGAATCTGCAAAGGCTGCAATCGACATACTATACTCCCGAGTGTTAGGATTGCCCTAAAATTGAAGTACGAGGTCTCAATCAATCTGCAATTTTTTTGCTAGCAGTCAATAATACTGAATAAGAATTGCATACCAGTGTGAGTACTCGATGGAATGTGTTCACGTAGGAGAGACCGCCAAGTATACCCTCGAATGCAATGAGACAGAAGAAGGCGGAAATATTGACCACGTAAGGACGGAGAACTTGCATCAGGACTAGAATGAAATTCATGCCCTAAAAAGCGGGGGGGGGGGGGAAACAGTTAATGAGATTGTTGAAACGATTTAAGGTAATGCTATTGTTCCGGTAATCACCAATTTGACCAAAAGCATATTTTCATTGGTCCCGATGAGTACTGTAAGCCATTCCTCTGTCAGTGAAATAATGGGTACCGCGAATGTCCATAGATAATTTCCAATTTCAGTCGGACGTAAAGAGAGGATAGAATATCGGTCTCACAACAGGGAGTTCTCAGAATACTGCTACTCCAAACGGAGTGAACATTTTCCTTCTAATGAATTCGAAGCCCTGTAGAGGGCCCACATTGAATAATAGCGCATTCTACTTGTTAGTTGGTAGATTTTTTATGGGTTGCTCATATCAAATTTGTGCTGCCTAACATAATCTGAGTTCCACTGATACACAGTCAGCAGTAATTTCCATTTCGACTCCAAATTCCTCTTCCAACTTCACTGCACTTGTCTAGTACAACTTCGTCCAATTTAGTTTCTGATCTTCATTTTAGGGAAAGGAGACGATTTCTAGCGCTAATTTAGCCTAACTCTTGAAGAGGTCTCGCTGTCAGAATTTGGGCTCCTTATAACCTATAACTTCAACTCTATGCACTCTTAATCACCGTTGAATTTCATTGAAAGTAGCTGAAGTGTAATTCAAGTAAAAAATTGAGTTGACTTAGGAGTGGTAATCAACCTATTTTCCAAACATTTCATCGTAAATTCATTTGTTTGGTGATTTGAAAATCGTATCAACGACTAGATATATAGAGAAGACAAATAAGTTAAAAATAAGATATTCAAGAGCAACACTGTGTAGTTATACGATCAGATCTTGAAATCCTCACTTGTTTTAATTTTTAACTAAAACTTGGACAAGGAAATGCGTAACCTTAAGGTAAAGTTTAAGACAATTGGGTTTATAAAGTGAATCTTATGTGGAACTCGATCCATGAAAATGCTTAAGACTTCCAGGACTAAGAAGGTTTCAGTGTCCGTTCAGTTGGAGCTGGGCTAGGGAGACCATTGGGCGATAAACACAAAAGATGTTAATTTTTAAGAGAGCAAGTTTGTGCTGTTGCCTCAAATAATAATGTTAAACCTCAGCTGAGTGCATAAATAATGATTAGGTTTAAAGACCTTGCTATTTGTGAAGTCATCCCAATCATTACGGCTACCGATCTGTTGGCTAGTACAAAGCTAAAACAACTTGCAAATCCGTTAAACTCAACTCAGTTAAAATCAAAACTAATGCTCGGTGGGTGACACTTTCATCCAATTTTCTATTCTAGAATAAAATAAAATATAAAGCAGAATGTGGTTAGATGTCACACGGTGAGTGCAGCGAAGTTGAAAATAGTTCCGAGAGCGCTGTTTTTAATAAAAAAAGCCTTATAAATTCTCAATGAGCAAGTCAAACTTCCCTAAGTTTGGCAGTCTCTCATGGTGTTAAATGAAGCCATTTAGTTTGCAAAGTGTATCAGATTTCAAAAGTATCTTTATATGAGTCTGAAAGCGGGGTGTGCGATAGACTTACCACTACGTGGTGCACCCTGGGCAACGTATGCTCATATGGCGAAAAAGTCTATTAATAGGCAGTTGACTTCTGACTTCAAACTACAATCACCCCACTGTATGCCATGTTCCGCCACTTCCACTGTACCCATCTTACCTTCTTCACTCTACCTTTGTGTCTGTCTCTTTTACATCTTTGAA